ATGGAGCAACCATGAAAATAAAATACCAAAGGTTGTAATCTCGAGTGCTGTTGGAAGCAGGAATTTCCATCCACGCTCTGCCTCCTTTCCCTGCTGTGCAGGGGCTGCCAGCTGAGGGGAGAGGTAAGAGGCTCTGGATATCATCTCCTGGGCTCAAGGCAGCACTTGTTATGTCCATGTGAACAAGTCAACCTCTTTGCATTTGTCATTAGGGGTGTTTACAGGAGTGCAGCTTAGGAATGAGGGGAGGAAAGGCAAATGTCAGAGTGCATTAAATAACGTATTTTCTTTACTTTCCAAGAAGCTTGCTCGCAGCATGATGTTGCTATTTATAGCCCATCTCCTAAACCCAGCTGTTGGTTCATGTTAACATGCAGAATGGTGAGAAAATCCCAGCAGAAGAGCGTGAATCCCAGAGAGGCTTGTGGGCCCTATAAAATAGCACCAATTCTGCTGAGGTCCGGGCCGGGCGTGCCCTCGGTGAGGCAACACCAGCATTTCCCTGTTGATCCTCCAGTGTCAGAACACCAAGAGCAGAGCAAAATGTAAAGTTCCAAGGGCTGCAGCAGAAAACTTCAGGGAACTGAGCTCACACCCCTGGCTGGAAGAACTTGAAAGAGTACCTTTACCTGTAACTCAAAACTAGCAAATACACTGTACACCCACATAACAGCATTCTTAGACAAGCTGTGTCTGATCTAATCTTATGTACCTTGGCCACAAGTTTTGGAAAAACAAATATTCCCAAGGCAATCAGATTAGTGAATATAGCATATAATGGTGTGGAAATACTAGTGGTTTATACAGAGCAGTTTATGGGATGGATTGAGTGAATTTAATTCATGCATTGTCAGGCAACTTGGACTTCAGTAAAATAAGGAAATCTTGATTTTATCTGTGTGTAGTGGAACCTCAGAGCCAAAGAGAGTAAGAGCAGCACTCCTGAGCACAGACAGGGAGCTCAGGGGACTTTGCTCCCAGCCAGCTCCCCGAGAGGACAGGCAGTGCTTGTGCTGAGGTGACCACGGGGTTAACAGGGTTACCCAAAGCCTTAATGGCCAGGAACCATTATCTGCTCCTCTCTGATTTCCTGCTCCCTAGGTGGGAGTCCCCCCTGCCCCTCTCCTTTGTTTCTAATTCGAGTTCCCATCCTGAAATGCTGTGAGTACAATTCGGTTTTGTTGCAATCAGTAGTCCCTTACAAAATCTTCATTCACAGAGTGTTTCCCCCATTGTAAGTGGAACAATGTTAGGAATTAATCTGGCCTGTGATTTGTAGGAACCTTGTTCTGAAAACCTTGTTCTTAGACCCCCCCCCCTTCCCTTTGAAGGGTAACTTAATTGTTTGGCAAACATGCAAAACCTACATAACATCCCCTACTCCTCTTAGCTATGATTTTAAAAGTCCTGCATTTTGGTTTTATGTAACATTGAACGTGGTTTTATGAACGTTTGGTTCACCTCTAGAAGCATGGGCATCAGATTCTCTTCTCCCAGGACACAAGATTAAAAAGCTGATTTCTGGAATATAAGGAGCATTTGAAAGGAGGAAAAGCCATGGTACTTCTGTGGAGTGGATTGTAAGAAGGTCCTAAAATGTAAGTTGAAAGTTAGTAGAGATCTGATTTTGGTGGTAGTGCCTCCAAAATACCTTGAATGGGTGGGTGGAACTGCACTGGAATAGAGATGCAAGGGAAAGCTTTATTGCCATAACAACTGCTGGATGATGACTCTATACAACTCTGAGGCTATTCAGTTAAAATTAAGAACACTGCTATCTTTTTTTCCTTATCTTTCTTTATATTTGCTATTGCTCTGAGTTTATTTCTCTTTGGATATCATGGAAATTGCAGTGCCTGCTATTTGGCCAGGGGAAGAGATTTCAGGGGGCTCTTTTCAGTCTCTGGGTTGTACATAAGATGGGCAGAAATGCAGTCAGTGGTTGTTCCCTTTTCTCTCAGAAGTGATCCTGGCAGATGCTTGTGGTAATTTTTCCCTTGTCATATTGACACTCCAGTGTGATGTTCTCTGGGGCTTTCTTATGTTGCTGCTTCTCCAGTCTTACAAAGATTGCCATTTTTTTCTCTGCAGTGTACATTTTTCTTTATTACCTACAGTTTTGCACCCTTTGTATTATCCAGGAGAATTTGGTCTTTGCAGTTGTCCTGGAAATTAAACCCACTGCAGCACCATCAGGTCAGGGAGTGATTTCAGGATTTTGATGCACCAACTCTTCTGTGACTTTATTTGTGTCAGCCTGAGGGGTGACATTTGTCACTCACTGTGACACATCAGGACATCTGTGCCCTCCCCACCACCCATCCTGGTCCCCCACCAGTCCCAGGAGGGTTCCAAAGGAGCAGATGTGGCTGCACATCATCACACATGGGAAAAAACATCTGGAATTTCAACTGCAACCTGAATTCTGCACTTCCTTTTCTCAATTGTTACACAGGGCAGTGTTTCCAGCAGGGCAGGAAAGCATTTCAGTGGGAAGGAGGCTGCTCTGTGCCCCTGAGGCATTGTTTGCAAGGCTCATAGAGAAATCCCTTGAGCAACACATGCTCTGCTTATTTTTGTGGTGCCACTGAAAAGGACAGATTAGAACCAATTATTTATCTCTTTGGCTTCCTGCTCTATTTTTTGCCAGCTTGGAATAATATGTACTGAAAATAATTCATGAGTATATCCAGAAGTCCTTGCTCAGGCCTTGCTTCAATGTCTTACTCAGATTCCCACTGACTTTTATAACTTAAATATTCAGTATTTTATCTTAACATCTTCTCAGCATATTGCTGTCAAGAGAGGATTTTGTGGTATTAATCATTAGATTCTAGTAATAGACCTTACAGGTATTATGGATGATAGGTATAGTGAGGAAGGAGAGAATAAATCTTATTCATATGAAAATCAATGACATTTAGACTGCTCATCTTGAAATTGAAACAAAACTGTGTGGATTTAAATATCTTCCTGATTGTTATAGATCAGCAACAAGCAGTTTGGAAATATGATTGTAGATGGCAAATATTTATATTTTGATGTCTTCCTCACTTCTTGTAATCTTTTTCTTAGATCCACAAGAAGAAGTGTCTATTCTTGCACCTCTGCTTTGAACAAGAGGTGGATGTTTCAGAAGCTGTTCGACTTATTCACTGCACTTTTAAATCCAAACTAATCTGTACATTGCAAACCCTGAACTCCAGCATTTCTGAGAACTGAGAACTACTGTTTCCATTTGTGCTAAACTTCTGGAGATACACAACAGAAACTGACATTTACTTTTTGGGAATGATCATGGAGGATCCACCTTTTCCCACCCCATGGTGTGGTTACCACCCTGCCCGATGGGAGTTTCTGTCATCTTTCCTGGCATCCTATTCCCCAACCTTTTGTGGAGCTACCTCTTTGTGTTCAGTTAATGACACCATTCTAAAATACAAAGAGCCCCTCTGATGTCTGTTTTTCAGAGACAGCACCCTTGGTGCTGGTGTCCTGATTAGAGATGTGCCCTTTGCAGTGATTTGGAGCTGTGAAATGGCTCCTGTCGCTCCACTCTGAGCCTGTGGGTATCTCACAGGATAAATCTGGAAGAGCTGTAGAGCGCAGATGATTTTTGGCAAGTATCATTTTATCATCAAAATTTTATTTTTGGGTCGCTCTTCAGCTGCCGCCTTCTGTGAAGGAGAACGACGCCCATTTGATGTCTTTTATTCTGGATTCCCGAGCAGTCTCTTCTGCTTAGAGCAGAATTAATGGGAGCTCTGGCAGAGATAATGGGAGGTGGGGATGGATGCATGGAGCTGGAACTGAGGTGGACTGTCACCTTTGTCTGAACGTGGAGACACAGCTCATGTCCTCAGAGCTGGGAGAGTCACAGCAAGACAGGCAGAAAATATATTTTATTTAAAATTAATGGTAATTTTCAATTAATTTAAATGGTTTTTTAAATTAATATTTTTAATAAATTAATTTTAATTTATTAATTTTATTTATTTAAAAATAATTTCAAAATCTATATCTGTACAGTAGTCACTATACATACCATTAGATATATTGTATATAATTAATATTTAGAGTAGAATTAATATAGTGTATATGTACTGTATATCATAGATGTATTTATAATGCATATTATGTACAGTATATATACTATATAAAATCTTGTATATTTATTTGAGTAATGACTTTGTATTAATAGTTTTGCTTTTACAACCTTGCCCTTGTTCAATTTTACCAGTGGCTATTTCTCACAATTATATACCTACTAGATATGTATATACCTAGTGTGTATATATACATAATACATATATTTTATATATTGTATATATACTCCATATACTAGACACAGTGTGTTTATAGATACACCATATATAAAAACGTGCCTACAGAGTATAGAGTGTGTATTTATATATATACACATACACTGTATATATATATATGTGAATGTGCTGGGGAGGCGGTGGTGGTTTCAGGGGGTGACACACAGGGCCAGCTGAGCTGTTTATCCGCAGGGGCAGTGCCGTGCTGCAGGCTCAGGAGGGGTCACCGGCCCGATTCCCCGGAGTTGCTGTTATTGCCCCAAACCCTCGCTGTTATTGCCCCAAACCCTTGCTGGTATTGCCCCAAACCCTCGCTGTTATCGCCCCACAGCCGCGCTCCGGCCCCGCAGGCCTCGGGGTGGCGCAGGCGCCGCTCGGGGCGGGGCGGGCCGGGCCCGCTGCGTCACCGCCGACCCACCCGGCCCCGCGCTCTGCGCATGCTCGCCCGCCGAGTTCGGCCAGGAGGGGCGTTCCCTTCCCAACGACCCTGCCCCCACTGGGCTCTGATTGGTTGTTGCTTCCCTCCCTCCCTTTCTGATTGAGCGCTTCCATGTCACTCAAGGCGTCCACGTTTCGCTACGCCCCGCCCACCAACTGCGCGCTGATTGGCGGGCTATCCTGCACGGGCGGTGCAATTGGCTGTGCACGCCGTCACTCCGGGGCGGGTCGGCGGGCAGGAATGTAGGCCCGGCCGCTCCCCGGCCCAACAAAGTAATCCGGCGATGCCTCGAGTGCGGAGCGCGGCCGTGTCCGTCCTACCGCCCGCCGCGGGAGCACCGCGCCCCTCCCCGCCATCTCCGGTCCGTTCCGCCCCTGCCCGGCGCCGTTGAGCGCCCTTGGCCCTGCCGGAGCTGCGCGGAGAAACGTGCGGAAGGACACCGAAGAAGAGTGTGACGAGCTGTAGTTCCGGCCGCGGTCGGGCCTTGTTTCCCAAAAATAGCGCGGCGCGGTATCCGTGCGCCGGTGTCAGTGTCTCCTGAGGAGCCGCGGCGGGAGCGGAGCGAGCGGGGAGCGGCGGTGAGCGAGGGGTCCCGGGGTCCCGGCTCCGCGCGGCCAGCGGGGCGCGTTCCCTCAGCCCGAGGCTTGCCCGGGGCCGGGGACAGCGGCCGAGGGGCCGGCGGGAAGGGAAGGGGGAAAAGAAGGAGGGTCCCCCCCCCGGCGGCCCCATCCCGCTCTGAGGGAGCGGAGCGGGGGGAGCCGGCGGGGTCCCGGGGTGGGCGAGTTCGCGGGGCCTCCCCAGAACTTCCTGCGGGAGGGGATGGACATTTATGGGCCAGGCCGGCAGAGCTGCCCGGGGACCGGGCGGGAGGGAGCCAAGGAGGGTGGGGTACGCGGCCCTGGAGCGCCCGGGGTGCGGGGAAGGGACCCTTTGTGCTGGGTGTCGCTGGGGAAGGCGACATCGCAGCGAGCGGGGAAGCGACAGGAAAAGGCTCCCCGGGAGCCCGTCCGTGGAATGCGGGAGCGGCCGGGGGTCGGCCGGGGGAGCTGGGAAGGGTTCAGGAGTTGAGTGTGCGCCGCAGGAAGGTGTGCTGGGAATGGCAGGGGGACAGGCGCTCCTGGGCTGTGAACCGGAGGCTCTTCTGTCCAGAGGGAGAAGGCTGAAGGTACAGCGGGGTTGTGCTGCCAGCAGGATTTTGTGTTCGGCGGCAGAAGTCGTGAGGAAAAAGGACTGGACCGCTGCTGACTGGAAAGACTAATTTTTTTAAGTTTATGGAGCTGTCTTTTACAATAAATTTTTACCTGCTTTTGAGATGCTAAACGGTGAGGAGAGTGGAATTGCTCAGAAAACCTGACCATAGTGTCTTGTTTGACAGGTGATTAATTTCAGAGTTGAAAAATTGGAGTTGTGTAGGGGAAAAAAGAGATCATTTAAGAAGAGGGTTTTTAAAAATTCTTTAGTGTAAAGCCATTGTGTCCCATAGCCAACGACTAAAATTGTTATGAGCGGTGGGGGAAAGGGGTTTTGGGAAGTACAAAGGAGGAAGGAAAAGGAATAATTTGTTAACAGTAGTAAGGAAAATAAAGTGGTTTGGTATGGAATTGATAATGTAAATATATTTATTTTAAACCGTTTTCACAGTCTGGGAAATTTTTATCTAGCATGAAGAGGGCTATGAGCTTTCAACCTTTATTATGTGAACTGTCTCCATACAATTGTTCCATATGCAATTTTTTTTTTTTTTAAGAAGTAGCCAGCTATATTTTGTTAGATAATTCTGGTGTCTTCTTATTGGTATCTGGTATTTAAATACCTGTGCAAAAGATGTCAGGGCAACATTCCTGTCATCTATTCTGTCTGTATTTAAATTTATTTAAAATGCCTTTTACGTGTGAGAATGTAATATTTAGGTTTTTTCCCTCATATCTCACAGGTGATTTGCATTTGGGGGAGAAGTGTGAAGTTCCTCATTTAAACTATTTTTTTCCACTGAGGTGTTAGAATATGTGCAAAATGACATGTTATTCAATTACATAATTTAAAAGGATTATAATAAATTATAATAAAGGATATAATGTCGGTGCTTTTGTTCACTAAAGGGTATCATTATTAAATGATATTTTAAAATTCTATACTTGTTAAGCCAGCAAATCAAAAATAAGAGAATGGAACAAATTGTCAAGATATTAAGGGATTATGATGGTGCTGTGCAGCTGGAGATGAGCCTTTTTTGACTGAGGACATTCAGTTTGGAATTTCATAAGGAAAATAGCCCAGTGCCCTGGTCAGTTATTTTTCTCCTCCGTAATTCTTTCCCCCATCTGCACTTGGTGTGGCCCACGTGTAGTGGCAGAGGGGGATCCTCGGTAAATGGGAAGAGTCCCTCAGCGTCAGGGACAGGCTCTACCTCAGGACAGCTCTGGTGTGCATGCAACTCCTTCTCTCTGCCCCTGGAGCTGATCTGAGCCACTGTGAACATTGCAGCCTTTCTGGGGTTTATTTGTCAGCAGACATTTGCAGATGTTGGTGGAAATACATCAGCTTCTTTGCTGTTGGCTCGTCCTGCTCTGTTTTCTCAGTGTGTGTTTAAACCGATGTGGTCACTGCTCACCTCTGAGTGAGTGGTGCCATGGAATGCTGTGCATATGTGCAGATCCCTGCATTTAGAGCCCTATAATATGAGTTTCTTTCTCTGTGAAACCACAGATGGAGAAGAAAGCGAACATTGAGTTTTATGAACTTAGAGAAATTGAGTCATGTTGGACTAGCACAATGAGGAGGACATGGCTGCATTCAAACTTGAAATAATTCTGGAGAACAAAACAGCTCATTATGGCAGAAGACTCATCTTATTTAGAAACCTTTGAGCTGAAGTGTGTGTGGTTCACCTTAAACTGGTTAATGCGGGCAGCAGAGATTTTATGGGTTTATTTTAGAATGTTGGCCACGTTTCTCAGATAACTTGTTGATGTCATTCTGTATATTCTGGGCCCAAGTGCTGCTTCAGAGAGCCTGGAGGCACCACTCTGCTCTGTGAACAATGCCGTGCTACCTTGCCTGCTCTCAGCCATGCCCTCCTAGCAAAACACAGCTGATTAATTCTCCAGAGTACTGAAAGAAGTGTAGTCTAATGCTGTGTAATGAGCCAATCTGTATTAGTTTGGCAACTTTTTTTCCTAAATAAGGAATATCTCGGATTAGTTATAACTGTGGTTTGTTATGCCTAGCTTGAGAGAGGTCTGTGGGGTTTAGTTGAATTTTTAAAAGTATGTGTTTTCTAAAAATTACCATTAGCACATTTTACTCGCCTCACCAAATTCTTAATTTTTTATTTTTAAAGGATTAAATATTCTGTGTAAACCTTGGGCTTTAGGCCTCCTCAGTCCTGACAGCAGCCTGGTAATGTGTGCAAAGCACTGGGATCTCTTTTCCTTCTCATTGCAATGAATCTTCCTTTGAATTAATTGGAACATCATGTGGCAATGTATGTGCTTCTTAATGCACAAATCGCTTTACATTTTCACATTTATCGTGTTGGAAAGACATTATTTCACATGTGTAATAACGTGTTCTTCAATGGCTCAAATGGAACAAAAGTCAGAGTCTCTGTCTGTGGTAATATGGGTGAATTTGGTGCTTTGTGTTCAGGTTTGATTCCTTCAGCTGTGGTGAAGTAGCCAGGGGAGATAAACACAGCATTCCCTTTTCCTTGTGTGCCGTCCTGTGCACTGCAGGGTGAGCAGTGATCACCCCAGTGGATTTGTCACTGTTACTGAGGTGCCCCCGATGAGGGGAGAGTTCAACTCTTGCTCCTGCCACTGACGTGAATCAAGACTTTGAAGGTGTGTAATGGTATGAGGTTTTAATTTAGGTGTCTTAAATTCATACTCAGAATCCCCTTGGTTTAAGGTGCACTCAGATGTGAAATAACTAAAGGTAGCTGGTTTTTCCCTGGATGTTTGCAAGGTGGTTTGGGTATCTTAGGAGGTTTGGGAGATGACACAAGACATTCTTTCACTTCTCCCCCGAGTTAGCTTTGTTGACCTTCCAGTAAAGAACTTGAGGAATTTTTTTGGACAGCTGATCAAAATACATTTTAGGTCCTTGATGCAGTGTCCAGTGTAACAGAACACAACAGTATTACTGAGAGTTCAGCCCAGCCTGTGTAATGTGACAGTTCCCCTCCCCCCTGCATGTGTTCTGAGGTACAGCACCAGCTAATAAATAATGAGCTCCTAGTCTGCAATAAGAGATTTTGCTTCCTTTATTTGAAAGTAAGCATCTGATCTAGATTTCTACCTCTGACCACTCCCCTCATCTGGTGCTTTCTTATTTTAACACTTGATCTTTCAAGTTACTGCTTAGGGACTTAAAAAGGAGAAATTTTTTTCCTCCATATTAAGGCACTGATTTTTTTTTTTTTTAAACAGTGTTGTTTTGGCTTCTGTTTAGTTGTTCTGCAGCAGTGTTTCTAGATTTCTTTATATTTAATATATAACTTTCTTCAGAAACATAAACCCCTGTACTGTGTACTCTCATTTCCATTTGACACTAAAGAGGAATTAATATTATGCAAGACTCCTCTGTTCCTGAGATTTCACCCCTGCCTATCCAAGATAATCACCTAGTTAGAATATTTTAAATTATATATAGTATATATATTATATATATATTTTTTTTCTTATATAGATATATATAATATCTATATATTTTCTTTTCTCATTTTATTCTTATTGTGAGTCTACAGTGAAGAATTAGGAAGGAATTTTATTAGAATAAGGCAGGCTAAATTTTGTGACTAGTCTTTTTCCAAATTGTAGTGCAGTGGAATACAGAACCTTTTCTATGGGAGCACTTTGCTTTTTGTTCTGTGTGTTGTAGCAGTACTAGCCTCTCTGATCAGAATCAAAATACATCCCTCTTAATAAGAGTGTGATTAATTGAATTATTTTTCAGGGAATTAACTACTTTATATTCAAAATGTTAGTGATGCTTAATTAGGTAGGTCTCCCAGTTATATTTGCCTCTGTCCCTGAGAGCTTTTGAATTCTGGCAAAGTCCTTATGGGCCAACCTGGAAACTTGAAAATGTGTTCTGCATTGCTTTGTGATTTCACTAGGAGCTACTGAGAATTGTTGCATGCCTATTTGAAGTGTAGCAAGGTAAAAAGTCGGTGCTAGGAATTGGCAGCCAAGCAGAGTCGTGGAAAGGTGCTTGCTGTAGGTGTCTGTGTACCAGGCACTGATGACAAAGCATCTTTTCCTTTTTTTCTAATCAGGAGCAAATTGACTCAGAGAAAAATGTGTCATGGTCAGAGATCACCTAGGAGTGGGTGTGTAGAATGGATGGGTTTGTGCTCGTGATACTTTTATGATGATAATAGAGGTGAAGAAGAATTTTTTTCCCATTTATTTCAAATCTCTTTGAGTGTTTGTGTAACTCAGTTTCATTTGAAAACCAAATTGCTTCTGACACTGTAATTTAGGATTTCATGGACTGGACTGGTGTTATTTTTATTGTTTGAAGGCTCACCATAGCCCTGTGAGAGTATGTAAAGCTGATGTGCCATCTGTACGTG